ATTTAAATCAATCTCTCAAAAGCTTAACACTATTAGTAAAACTGAGTATTTAATGACACCCGGATTTTATTTTATAATAACTGTTCACTTGTTAATGTTGGTATTGTTTTCACGGGGTAGCCACTTTGACAAATGTTTTTACGTATCATATTTAACAATAATTCTATTTAACGGTTACAATTCTATTAAGACAATTTTTCAAAAAATGTTTAGTAACAATGAATCTTTTACAGATACAATAAATGGTGGTTATGAATACTTAAGATTGGTGTTAAAATTAGATTCGTTTAGTGAGAAAAAAGAAGATAAACTAAATTTATACAAAAGGACCTTCGTAAAAACAATTAATAACATGGCGGGTGATTTGAAAATAAAAAAGGAAAGTGATAAAGAAAATGAAATTAGTAACGTAATTAAAAAGTGTAATGAAATACCAGAAGATATTGAACAAAGACAAGGGTTTTTAAAAGAATTAGCCGAGTCATTGACTATGAAATCAGTTAAAGAAACGCAAGGAAATCTTTTTTTATTAGGTATTTTCACAATTATTTCAGGTTTAATTATTTATTTTATAAAGAATTATTTGTGGTTCATTTTATTTGGATTTTCAGTGCTTTTATCACTTCACATTGTTAGTGAAATAAGTTTAGTGAGTAATTTGAGTATTTTTATAAAAACAGGAATTTGTTTATTAACAGCGATTATAATAAGCTTTGTAATTGTATTGACTGAGAGTTTATTTGTTAAAATTATCAACAGTGTTATCACAAGTTTAATATTAACCATAATGTGGTTTATAAGCTTAAAGTTTGATAAAGAAATTCTTGATATGATAAACAATATAATGAATTTTACTCAAATCGGAGATTTAAATAATTCTGATGTGAAATTTATTATGTTTTTAGTGTGTTTAACATCAATAAGCTTATTCTTTGAATTTATGAAGAAATGAAATTCTCATTAAAATTTTTTATTAAAATTAGTGTTTATAAATGATTAATAGACTGATTAAAAAAGCTAAAATAAGAGTAACTTCTAATGAAGCTAAAGAAAATAAAAAAGAAATAAAGAACTCTGGTTTTTGAACAATTCTTCTAAAACACAATTTTGATACCAATCCCATTGATTTACCACCAACTAAACCTATACAACCAAACAGCAAACAAGCTATCAAATCCCAAATAGATTTAATAAAAGTATAATTATTATCAATCTTGTTCATAACTATAATGCCTATAATAAATGCATAGAAGAATACTGTAGATACCATAATCATAGATACATAGGAGTGAGTTACAATCATAGGTTTATCACTATATAGTGTACTTGAAGCACCACAATTAGCCATACCATCACAAGAACCATAAGCAGATAACGATAGTAAAAATGATATTCCAATTGGACCTATTAAGTACTGAATAATTTCATTCATGTTTGTTTTATAAATAAATTCTTTTTTTATAATTAAAATATTTTTATTAAATAAACAAAATTTGTTTTAAAAATGGTATTTAAAGATTTAGACTATGATAACTGTTCAAATTTTCTTAAAAAGATAGATGATGATTACATAAGATTATCAATGATTATTCACAATGTATCCTTGTTAAATCTAGACCAGTACATAGATTTTAATAGAATAAAACCAATCTATATTTATCAATCCAACTCACTCTTTATATATGAAAGTCTGGATGACTATAAAATGATTGTTCCTGATAAAAGACATAAAGATTTCAAAATAAAGCATACCAAAAATGATAAAGTTATTTTATTGATTTTTAATGATGGATCCAAAATTGGAAT